ATATTCTAATCACATATTAGAATATATGTGATTATATTGAATAATCAGGCCCTATCTTAGCTTAAAAGACTTCATAGTACCACATATTGTAGGGTGTACTGTTATATAAATCAAACTGAATTGAATTGAATATTTACATTTTATTCAGTGTCCTAACTGTTTTGGAATTTATGGTTGGAGAAACAGATTTTGCTGCCATAGCAGGACCATTTTCAGGACCATAACCTGAAGTCTGTGGCATACCTGTGCAGCCATGTCCACCAGGTTAGGCAGTTTTAACCCTCGTCCTTCTCCATCCTTTAAAAAGTCCAGCAAGCTTCCTGGAGTAGGCATAAAAACATGTTATGTTAGCACACATGTGCACAATAAAATAAATAAAAGACAACTTTATTAAATCAGTTTTGGTTTCTGTGCCCTGTGCAATACAGGAACACAGGAAGTGTTTGTAAATTTGAAGTAAAATAACCTTGAAGAAAAATCAGGTGAATATCTCTTAGAAATAAGCCACAAAAAGCTCCCTAGCTACAAAAATAAATATCGGATTGGTGGACCTAAAAAGATCCCCACAAAAACCTCTACATTCATACAATTCCACAGTGGATCGGCTCTTTTAAAGGCACTCCTCTCCAGCTTAATTGGCTGACCTAGATATGGCAGGCTCTGCACGCAACAGACACAGCAATGTACATTGAAGTTTCCATTCTTGCATTCTCTGGTGATTAATGCGCGTCCACAACGCTTTCTTGTGGCCTCTCTGAACTCCAGTGTTTTGAAGGACTGTTTTGCAGGCCTTAATCATCTCCACTCTCTTTGAAAGGCAGGGTTTGCCATTCCAGAGCGCTCACTCTTCAGACTGGAATGGAACAAAGTGCTTTGACAGCCATTTTTTAAACTGGCCACAAGTTTCACTTTTAGGCCACAATATATGCTTTTTATGGCTTTATATTATATATATCTATAACCAGCAGATTGTGATTACTTTGCTAAATTTATTCTTTAATCTTTCCTCTACAGTTCTACTGTTTGGTGTACATACCAACAACAAAAAGCAAGGAGATGATATCACATAAGAATGGACTGTTCAGAATCTCCTGCAGATAATTTGCTTTTCACTGAGACAGTGGTCAGTGAAGACACATACAGGGGCTTGGACTGAGCTGGTGACACAACCAACAGACAACATAACATAGAACTTTAAACTCTTCTACTAATGGAAATTATATTAATTTTAGATAGAAACTAATAAAACATGGTTCACTTTGCTTTGCAAAACTTGGCTGTGTTACGTTTTCTGAGTCTGCAGCTTGCGCACAAAACCATACCAAGAGCTATTTCTCTTGTTTGGTGTTAGTCCTTTCCTCTCTCACACTTTGTTTCTGCACAAGGGTGAGAGAGGCAAACTCGCTGACATGCAACCACAAGATCAACTGCTTTACAACCCATTTTTGTCACACAGGGCTTTAAGCTTGTGTCTCCATTATTAGTTTTATCTTTCAACAGAAATGCTGTAAAAATTAATCTTTTTGTAATTGAATGGTGATGACAAAATTCTTCTATACGCATCACCGCCACCTCTTGCCAATAAAATCACTCTACATAGTATAAGACGCTTGTAAAACCGAGACAAACTGCATATTTTGAAACAGGAAACTGTTGCATCAACTCTTATTTTATAAAAATAATTATTTTTTAACAAGTGAATAACTAGCATTTTTGGGGTGCAATGAAAAATGCAAGTAAGCAGCTGGGGATTGTGGGTGTGTTCCATCTACCTTTGCCCATGTACTCTGTGACGATGTAAATGGGCTCCTCAGACACGACAGCGTAAAGCTGCACCAGCTTATCATGACGGAGTTTCTTCATGATCTGAGCCTCCTCCAGGAAGGACTCTGGGGACATCGTGCCAGGCTTCAGAGTCTTCACTGCCACCTTAGTGGTGCCATTCCACGTTCCTGGTACACAGAAGCTGGCATCAGTACAGTGGGAAAATGCATTCGTGTCATTTCAAAGTCAAGCTTGACAACCCTGTGCTCTAACCCGAAGACATGATTGGCAGGTGTGAGGCAAGTGTAGTTTAAAAACATGGGGAAAGTCTTGCTTTGAAATGACAAGGAGATAAACATGCAAGACAGGAAGCGATCGGGAGACTGAGGGAATAATCTTTCATGCACAGTGGTTGGGCTGAAGGATAATTAAATGTGTACGGGATTTGGAGCGGACATTGATTTGAAATGGCTTTTAAAGGCTTGGAGAGAGATTCAGCAGGGCTTTAAGAGTCACAATACGCCAACATGGGAGCGGATAATCCTTTGTAGGATGATCAACAAAGGCAAGCCTGTAAGCTCCTCACTGGTTACATGTCAGTGACTGTAACACAGCACGGCTATGCCTCCAATATGCACTCTATCAAAATACTGTGTGTGAATGTAGGTAAAGGTATGGATGACTACAATTATTTTATTGAAGCAGTACCCTTTTTATATTATTTTTACAGTAAACATACAAGAATCTTAGGAAAGACAAATTTGACCTACTTGTTTATTTTAAGGGGCTTAATTTAAGATTAAGCTCATATATCAGAGTGGGCTTCTGTAGCATCATGGCTGTGCATTCAATTTTGGAAGTCAGGACTGGTAACCTGCTGCTACAGTGGCCCAGAGAGGTCAAACATACTGCAACTGAGAAACCATCAGCAAATAGAGAAATACTGCAAAAGCACACAAAAAATATTGTTGTGTGTGTTTGTGTGTACTTTTGCTGAGTATTTTCTGTTTGCTGGTGTTTTCTTAAGCTGCAATGCATTTCACCTTTCAGGGCCACCTCAGTGTTCAACTGGAATATTATAAGAATGCAAACATACACTGTGGGGTGGAAAACTATTCCTATAGGTATCAGCTGATTTTCAAAGAGACTTTATAGTTTATGTCTTAAGAAACTAAAACAAAAATCCTGTGGGAGTGCTGGAGAGGGATAAGAAAGCTCCAGGTTGCATCTGAAATGGCAAAATAGCTTCTTGGCACAATTATGAATACATAGATGAGCATAAAGGAGACTCTCCACCTGTACTTGTGGGGTGGGCCAGAGTGAAAGTTTCAAAGTTTTGTCTTGAATTTTCTTACCATAAAACACATCGGCAAAACATCCTGTTCCCAGCTTTACTTCCAACTCAAGTGCGTCTCTGCTGATCTCCCAGGCATCATGACTCAAGCCCACAGTGTCAGGGATGTAGTTCACACACACGCCCGTTAAATTAAAGCACAAACCATCTGCACTCTCTACAGGGGAGGGGGGGAGGTAAGGCAAACAGGGTTAGGGGAAAGGAACATGCAGTGAGGTACACATGGAAGGAGGCCACCTTTAGGCTGTGAGAGTTTCCTGACACACTGGATGATTTTTCCAGATTATTTTGGCAGAAAAGTTTGGAAAACAAGGACAATTTGACTGGCAACACCCTCAATCTAAGAATTACAAACATTTTTGCCCCATGTTCTCATTTGATCGAACCAATCAGATTATTGGCCTGTGTTTTGGACTGTGTCTGGTGACTCCGTCAGCTCTGTGTGGCTCCTTCCGAGTGGCCCCCTTACTCGGAGGCGACTCGATCCGTACCCATCCAAACCTCCCCAAACTGCCCATTCCCGAGACGCTTGATCAGCTGCAGCGACTCCCGTGGGATCTCCCACACGTCTTTGGTTTTGACGGACAGGTCAGCGAGGCGGGGCATGCCTTTGTGGCAGGGAACCACCAAGCGACAGCAGAGCCCCGCGGCTCGATCTGCACACAGCACACGGCAACGCGCAAAAAAGAGCAGAGACAGAGAGAGGGAGATGTACAGAGGGTTAGCGCAGCACCCTGCAGGAGACAAAGACAAGCTTCAGAGTAGCACGACAACTGGAAGCATAGTAAACATCAAAGCTGAGAACCAGCGCCTCTGTTTTCACTTTCTGGAGGGCACATGAGCTGATTACAGGTGAAAAGATTCAGGATGTGGCCTCTTTCATTCATCTTGATCATCAGATCAATCAGTTTGCTTACAAGTTACACGCGTCTCATACTTATGAAATTAGAGCGTTGTGATGTAGCACTGGCGGATGAACTTTTCACAACTGGTTAAGTATATTCTTCCTAATAGCAAAAACGAATAGAAATCTATTAAAATGTTCTCATTCTCTATAATATCATTCCAGAGCATAGTTAGAGTTGGAAGTCTACCCTCTGAACTCCCAACAATCTGTAAAACAAGCGAGTAATGATTTCTAGACTGTTGGGTGGGGTGGTGAAGGGGTTAAAACAGCAGACCGAGATACAAACGCCAGCTCTGACATGTAGCCAAACAGCCAAACTGGGGGTCGGTTGTCATTTCAAATTGTTGGCAGTCTACCTCTGAGTGTGCTATAAGTTCACAAGCATCATCTGTTGCTGGAAAGCTAAAATAAAACAGTACTTAGCACTGCAGTTACAGCTGAAATTTAAATGACTTTAATGGTTATTTCTGGCCAGGGTTGGTAGAGTATCACAGTATAACACACTATAACAGTAAACGTCTTCAACACTCAATAGCAACAAGCAGAACTAAAGACTCTAAAG